TCCCCACCCAATCAGACCGAGTCTACCAGACTGTCCTGCTGTAAAAGCTCTTAATCATCGCCCCAAGTGTTACAGGAGGTGGTTGGCATTTGGGTTTTTCCTTTTTTGACTTGATAATATCATTCTTCTAAAAAAAAAAAAAACAACTTTGAGAGTCTTAAGCTGTAGACAAAGCAAACTTATTCTGATGTCACTGTTATCTGATCCACGCAAACAGTGGAGTGCAATAATGTAATTATGCCCACTTTGCCCTCTCATCGACGCGAGACTTGTAATTTCCCCTCTTTTCTCTGCATGTTATCCACTCCAGTGCCAAGTGTCTCCTATTGTCCTCGGTTTCACTGCTGTCTCCGGGGCTGTCAAACTCCAGCGAGAGCCGGTGAAACTCTAGAGTGGAGCGTCATGTTCCACGATACTGAAACAATATTGAGTCGCCAACTCTCCATCACCTGAACGGGAACAAAGGGAAATGTGTATTTTCAGAAATGTTGTTTCTTTTCACTGGAGCCTATTTGGTGGTTTGGGAGATAAGGTTTCAGACACGTATCTGCTGAAATAAAACAGATCACACGTTGGCGATAGAGAGCTACATTTTCAAAAGTTAATTAGTAACTTATTAATTATGCTTTTATTGGCTCTTTTATTGGCTCGTAAGATTAACTTTTATTTCTATAACAACAACTGAAAACCTTTAACACGCAGAATTATTTTATGGCCCAAATTGCAAGGAATAAAAAGGAGCACAGCTGCAGAACACAACAATGTTAGGGATGTCAAAATGAACACCTTAATCGTCAGATTTAGGATTGTTGATTTGTCTAGATTAATCATGACAAATAATTACAATCACTATTAATCGTGAGTAAATCACAGCAACCTATTTTTAGCTTTAATACCAATTATGTCCCAGAAAGAAAATGTTTGGATTTTAGATTTTGTCAGTGGTGGAGACCCATTCCTTCAAAACCACAACTCCCTATTATGGCTAAGTGTCCAGTCCTAAAAGCATCAGTCAAATGATTTGTTATCCAGATCCAGCCAATATAAATGGTATATAAAATAAATTCACCTCAGTCTTACACAGTGGGCCTTTAAACTGTTGACCAACTGTTGGCTGGGATAACGACGCTGCAGCCTGGACTCCAGTGGTTGTTTAGGAAGTAAAATGTAAATGAAGCTTTAGAGGCTGGGGCTGTAGGAGGGCTGCTAATATGCAAGCTTCCCCCAGATGGGAAAGCTTCCTTCTGAGCCAAATCTATTAGAGTCTGATACTGGAGTCTGAATGTGGCCCATTTTCCACTCGGGCAGCTGTGGTTGGATCACTGTGGAAGCATTTGTCACCTTAAGGCCCTTGTTAGAGTTGAGTTTCCAGGTTAGATTTCTTGTAATGTGTGAGGAGATTGATCGGGGTAGTCGGTGCAGAGGACTCTACAGGAATGTCTGTTATTAATAACATAAAGGCAAATGTTTTGCCTTTATATTTCATATTCTCTGTAAAAAAAAACTTTGTTCTGTTATTTTTGTAGTTTGACATGGGTACATTTTTTAAAAACTTGTTCCCATCCCATAAACAGTTCGTCCATTGAAGCCTGGCTTACATGGTGGAAGATTCTATCGCCACATTTATCCAATCAGTATTTGGTCAAAATTAGCATTATTTGTGTTTCTCATACCCTTCTGGTTATTCTTTAATTGTATCTAGGTTAACAGTGATTTTTTTCATCAAATGAACAATCTGAAATATTTGATTCAATTCATATTATCAGATCTATCCATCATGTCACGACCACTTTTATATAATTATATTAAATATAATAATTAATTAAATAATTCCCTTTTACTTTCGTATAACATGGCCAAAGGCGTAGAGAGCCCATCCATGATTTGGCTAAAGTTGGCTATATTTTTGTCAGGTCATCAGGAGTGGCCATTACCAAAGCCATTTCAAGGACTTCCGCCTGTTTTTCCCCAGACAGTGAGTGCTGAAAATCTTAAAGACTCCCAGTAGATGAAAGCAAAAACAGAGGACAAAGTCTCTGCATTCCGTCTGCCTCAGCTCCTTAATATTCCGACAGCAGAGGACTTTGTGAATGTGAGGTTCCGAGGTAGGCATCTGTAACGGGTTTACACCGCAGGCTGCACATATGCAGATATCATGCACAGCAAGCCTCTGGCAGCTCCACACATAAGCCACAGAACTCTACACATTGTTTCCTGTAGAGGAGGGTGAACTTTCTTTCCTCTGCTGCTAGTGTTTTTCTAAAATGGGTCAGCAGATGTTGGAGAGCGGGAGAGAAAGAGAGAGAGAGAGAGAAAAGGGAGTTGGAGAAGGAGGAAAAGAAGAGAAGAACAACAGCCAAAGCAAACTGTTTGCTCTGTACTGTGGGCTGAGAGGAGAAAGAGAACAGTGTGGGAGAACGAGAGGGGAAGAAGAGACCGCATCTACTCTACTGTTCTGTTCTGATGCCACTCAGAAACAAGTCAACACTTTTTTGGAACGGTGAAAATCCTGATCCGTTCACCCTCCTCCACACCCTTTCAGACTCTGTGTATTTGTCCTTCTCCAGCACACGCCAACAGAAGTTGCAGTTATGCAACAGTCATGTTAAGTTATTATGGGCTGCTGAATATTTTAGTTCCAATAACATCTGACACATCTTTGAATTGTAACTTGTGACGAGCTGGAAGAAATTTCCAAAAATCTGATGACAAGTTGACTTGGTTAGAGAGTTCAGTGCTTTTCTTACCACAGCTGAAGTGGTCATAACCAAAGCATAGTCATGTACTCCAAACCAGAGGAGCACATGTAAAAAAGGAAAAAGGAAAGAGGCTTATCCATGTAAATATAACTCAGGGTATTTTAGATGATTTCTACTGCAGGAAATATTGTAACTTTAATTTGATCGACTTTAAATCTTTTTGCCTTTTTCTTGGTTCACTAGGTTTGTAACTCTAGTTTTCTTTAACATTGATTTTTCTGCTGCCAATGTTTACTATTCATTTCTTGTCTTGCTTTTAGTTTTTCTTGTTTTGAAACACTTTGAAGCATCTTTTGACATATCATTTAGCATTTTCTAGGCTTGCAGTTCGTTTGATAATCTCTTAACATTTTTTGCGATATTTTGGCTAAGATTTTGCTACCTTGTTGCTAACTAATTACTTTATACTTTGGGTTTTTGGCTAATGTTTAGTCTACTTTCAATACGTTTTTTATCATTAGTTTTTGAAACATGAAACATTTACTCTCTCGTTTTTTGTTTTTTTATAACTAAATGAGAACTTTTACATTGCAAGCTCATACATTTCTCTGGATATTTCTTGGCTTTTTTAAATCTTGTTTTTAATTTTTTTTTAAATGTATCTTTTTGTTGAAGTTGGTTGTAAAAATGTATTTTTTTTATTATCTTATAGTTTGACATGGTATTCAAACACTTCCTTTCCTACATGATGAAGACGTAGCATTTTTTTTCATGTTCACCTGCAGAAATAAACTATGTATAAGTAATATTTTGAAACTTAGTGCCATGACAAGTTAAAGATCAGATTGCCTTATTTTGAGGTAGCTCTTGCTGTTTCTATACTCAAATTCACACTGATGCATAGGTAGAGTTAGGATATATTTACGACTTATACACAAGTGAGAGCTGCTGTAGCAGACCACATAAAAAAAGCATCTTCGCTGGTTGTGCAGATGTCAGCGCTGACACCACAGAGCAGTAGAAGGAGGCAGCCTCATCTTATAAGTTTTCTTTTACATCATTTGGATGGTTTAGTCTGTGCTAACCCATGTGTCTAAGAAGAAAAATCACCGAGATTTGCTGTAAGAAAAACACAAGGCAGCAGCTAGGGTTGCAGACAAAACAAAATGTTGGCATCCGGTTATTTTTTTTTCCCAGAGATTTTTCTCTCCATTATGTTCTTTTTTTCATGGTGTTTGCAGTTAGCCTGCCATAATTAAAAATGGTAAATCATAGAGACCCTTCTTCATTCACTCACTATTTAATGATTAAAATGCTAAATCTTCGGTTCCAAGTAAAAGCCACAAATCGAGCAACTTGTACTTGTTGCCTTTACAGTTCAGAGTGTTTTTTAAAAATGTAATTTCTGCATGAGAAGCTGGAGAGAAGCCTGTTTTCTGATGTGATTTACATCATATACTAAAATAATTTACATGTGGACGCTGTAGACGTTTCTTTACTCCGGGCTCATTTATAGTCGGAGTGACAGGTTACCCTCCTCCTCTGTTATCTCGCACGATGATTGATGTGACTTAACCTCATTTGAACTCATGAAGACTTACCTCAAGCTCTCATCCCAAGATAGAAAAGGAAGGCTTTTCAAATCTGAAACAGCCTGTCAAAGAAAGGAATTATATTTGGTTACATCAGGACTATTACCCCGCTTTTACATTAACTATTGAACCATATCATGTCTTTAAATCAGTGTTTCTATTCATTTGATAGAATTGTCTTCATTTCCTCTTATGGTAACATGAATGTGTTTTGTTTGTGTTGCAGGCACACACAGCAGAGTGAACCAGTGTCCCGTCAATGAACACGGCTGCCTGGATGTAGATGTGTGTTTACATATGAGTAAACTGTGTGATGGAGTCCCCGACTGCACCGATGGCTGGGACGAGGGGCCTCACTGCAGAGGTAATAAACTAACAGAAGCACACAAACATCCATTTTATGGCTTCAGTTTTTCCTTGCAACTCAAGTGTAACAGATGGCACCATCACTTTGTTCACACCCGTTCTGCCACACACAGACAAGAGAGAGCTGCCCTTTTTTGTAGGACAGTATGCCCAGTCAGATTCTATTGTGCAGAGCACTGCAGTCTGACGTCTTTTTCTCTGGTTGTTCCTTACAAACGGCAGCTTTAAAAGTTGCATTGGCTGTAACTGCTGTCAGGTTTTAGGTTTTGTAGCATTTTCATTTGACATAACATACCAGGAATATCAAAAATGATTGTTGGGTAAAAATATTTGTTTTGAATTATTATGCTATTGTAATATAAGCAGATAAATTGACTTATGGATGAATTCAGTACAGTGAGTCATTTTAACACTAGCAATTCTCCACCACACTAGCATGACAGCTAAAAGCCATTAGCACAAGAGCTAAAAACAGCTAACCAGAGCTAACAAAGTATTTTGCAGTAATTCATGATTTCAAAAGGCAGCAACAAAATTAAAATCATTATTATGAACATCATTTAAACAATTATCATTATTTTTATCATGTGTGTACATGTTTTTAACTGTGTCTCAGAGTTTTGACTCATAGGCTGTTATAATGAAACCCATCATATCTATAGCTGTCTGTTAAACTTGAAATAGCAGAAATTGTTTGGACATATTAAGCAATGACTGGAATACAAAACAGCATATTAGACTAAAGTTGCTACATATCTAATTTCTATAAAAACAACTGAGTTTCTCTCTGATAATCTTCCTCTCTCTGCCCCTTTAATGAGCCGCTCTGCTCTGGTTTGTGTAGTCACAGTGACATGTTTGTTTACAGGGGAAAAAAGCAATTAATTTATCAATCAGCTCAATTGTGCGGAGGTTTCCCAAGTTGCTCTGGGAACAAAGAGCATTCAGGCTTCATTTTTAAGAAGAAGCTCATCCAACTGTCAATTAGTGACTGTAGAAGAATGAGAGATAGAGGACATTCGCTCCATAGTGTTGGTCTCTGTGGCAGCAGACAAAAGAGCAAACAGTGACTGCCTTCTGAGGAGTGTCTCAGTATTCAGTGACTCAGCAAGGCGGTCCTCAGATAAAGCTGTCTGCCATTCTGCCTGTTTCATAGCTGTGATAAGTCGTGCCACAATTCCTTGTGGCTTTTTGATTTATCTTTTCTGCCTGTTTCATAGCTGTGATAAGTGGTGCCGCAATTCGTTTTTCAATTTGTTTTCTTTTCCTGGAACAAGAAATCACTTTATCAAAATTTAAAATGAGTCTGGCTCCCTTTAAGTACTCCTGTTAACATGTTTTGACACTTGTCAGTTAGTTGAGGTACTTGTTTTGCAGTTCTTCAGACATGATGTAATGTTTATCACTTATTGCTTCCACTTATATATGAGTGAGTCTTAATATGAATAAATGATCCAATCGTAACACTTTAAATTAGACTAAAACAAAAGATGGTCAGCCTGCTCTGACTGATAGCAGGTTCCCAGAACTCACCCCTCAACTGTATTCCCAAACCACTTTCTCATGCATTTTTAATGTAGACAGGTACTCCTTGCCAAAATTAAGTTATATATATTTTAAAGCCATTCCCTCCTGATGAAGAAACAAGTGAACACAACCTTTACTATCTGAAAAGAAGAAGAAATATTTACTGAAAACAAAAATAAATTATATTATATTATATTATAAATATCCCTGGTGTTGACATTGGCTGTAGAGAACAAGTAGATTCAAACTCTTTATTCTTTTTTCTGCTCATAGAAAACTAAATACTGAAAAGACAGGAAACACTGACGAATTAGAAAGTTGCACAGAGAAACACTAATTGTTGCTGTCACACACACTCATGATCACTTTCGCAAAAAACTTTACACCAGACAGTAATGACGTCAACAAAGTGCACCAGCTGCTCACACAGTACACAGGTCCAGCTGTCCTCAGTAAGTCAATGTTAAGGCACACCTTCATACACACACACACCAAGATACTACATGTTCATGTGGTCTAATGTGTGTGTATGTAATTTGCTAACACACTCAAACAATGCCTACACAGTCACAAATACACACCCCTAAAACACTCTTTGCTTCATACACACAAACACACAAACACACAAACACATGGCCAGTGTGTGTCCGGCAGATTTGGCATTGCTGTTTGCAGGCTCTCCCCTCTCTGCAGCGAAAGGCCTGGCTGTTCACAGGCTTCCTAGTGTGTGCTTGTACAAACTGCAGCAGGGTTGTGCGTGTGTACCTGGCTGTCCACGTCTGAAAGCAGACTTTGTCAGTCAGTGTGTTCATATAAATCCTCCAAAGTTGTTGACGAGAGTGTTAAAAAAAAAAAAACCAGGGTGTAGCAGGTCGGGTCAGTCATACATTTGATATGGTTTTTACATCATTCTTCTCCATTTACACAGAGTGGATCAGTGGATCAGCCCATTGTCCCAGGAACATTGTGAAAATAGTATAAATATTTCAGTTGATACAGGTGGTCTGATTTAAAATAAGAATAAAATAAATGTACAAAAGTGTCACATAAATTTATTTAATTTTTCCACTTCTATTATGACATATCAATCTAATCCGCTATGTCAGTTTTTGCCAAATGTATCTTTACATTTTTTTATACATGTTTTTTTTTTCTCTCTCTCTCTGGGCTTCCAGAACAGTGACACTCAGCTCTTTGGTTTTGCTTGTCTAACTTCAGATCTTTGGCATCTTGTGGTCAAAACTCAAACCAGTCCACATTGAATGTTCCAGGTCTAAATTTAAACAGGCCTGTGTGACTAAACATAGTAGTAACTGACAGTTGACAGTTATGTTGTTGTTGTGTTTTTGGTTGAGAGCTGATTTTTCTCATTGATCCAAAGCCCCTGCATTTGTGCTTTCTCTGTTATTTCGAGGGTAAACGGGGTCTCTCCAGGGGGCTAAGTCTTAGACCTGCCTCCCTCTGAGTTTCCTGATTGATAGGGATGGGAAGAAACGGGGTCATAGAAACACCACACAGAGTATTATCCTCTGTTCTCGCTGCCCCAGAGGACGCTGTGTTTATGGTCGTGGCCTGATGCTATTGTTTATGCATGCAGCGGTCTTTTATTGTCCTTCATGTCCCACTAAATGCGGAATGAGATTCAGTCGTAGGCTACATGGAAGTTTGCGGCTGGAACGACCATATTTTCATCTTTATTCATAACAGAACCTTGACCCACAGGAGCTTATTGGCCCCCGTCGGTTTGTTTAGCACGATAAGACTTGGTTTATTGCCATCACTGTATACAGAGATGCCACCGATTTTAAGAACAAACGCAACCTTCTTTACTTATAATTCGGCTTCAGATTAAGGAATGTTCCTGGAATATTTCTGTGCCTCAGTCGTGTACTCTATCCTGCGTGTTTGAAAGTCTTGTTGCCACGCTGTGGCCACTTGGTGTGTGCATTGGTACATTTTTGTAGGGTTGGATTTAGGGCGTTGGGGACAGCGTGCTGCCACTGTTTGGCTGCTACTGTTTGCTCATTACTCAAGCTGCTGCCGGGGGTTGTGTTTGCAAATGGTTACTTTGCCCCCTTTGACTGCAGGGCCTGCAAGAAATGGCCAGTAAGTAAACTCTGTTTTTTTAGGCCTTTTACGCCTACATTACCTGAATGTACACTTAATCATTTTCATCTTTAAATTGCCTTGCTCAACAGTACCTGCTTCTTACAAGAGTAAAACCTCTGCTGCTGCTTTACATTAAGAAGATGACTCTTCTACCGCCCTTGTTCTCTACATTTTAAACAGCCAAGAGAGAAGGTTACACAGGGCCACGGTCTGATGTCACATATGTTCTGAATGAACTCCATATGATAAAAAAATGTTTATGTCAATGCAAATTGACAAGAGTTAGTGCAAGTAATCTAGTTCAGTTGAGGACCTACTTCGACTCCAAGTCACCATAGAAAAACAAAGCAGTTACTGAAGAAGTAACCTTTAATTTCAAGTCCCAGAATCTCAAATTTGAATCTGAATTATTAAAAATGTTTGAGTTGTGCTCTTAAGGTCCAGGTTCAAGTCTGTGCTCAAGTCACTGGAAAAAAATACCATGAAGCAATATATACAGCCTATTGAAATGTGTTTAGATTGATCTGAGCAATACCAGAAATTCTCAAAGTCTGTAATCTTAGACCGCTGGTACGTTACTTTATTATTTGGTATCTGGCATCCCTGGACAAGATAGGGACTAGAGACACAGTAGGACCAGGTCTTGTATCAAAACAGTATCCAGAGTAGCCTTCTAGACAGATTTGGTTCCTGAAGGCATTTTTAAAGACCTTCTTCTCACGTTGAGGAAACATACTTGATGATGTGCAATATTATTAGCCGTTAATTTCAGGAAGTTTAAATTGTGTGTGATGGGAACCATGCAGAGAAACAGGTTCCTATCAGCTACAGGTAGAGGACATGGACACGTGTAGACATGTTCCCAAACAGTGAGAGCACAAAGGTAGGAATGTCCTGGAAATTACCTGTTTGGGGAAATGTCACTCAGTGCAGGAGAAACTCTTTGTAAAGTGACTGTTTTGTATAATTCTTGGTTCAATTAGGTTTTTCTAGATGTCATAAAGATAAAGACAGGATTTATTTTGTTCTGCTGTGTTTTTGGTTCAACAAAAAAAGGGAAGTGATTTCAAGGCGGTTGATGGATAAATAGGCTAATCCTGTTTAAGGAGAGAGGTTTGAGAAATCACTCAGTCATGACAAGTTTGTTGCATAACACAACCATGACCCTGAAACCGCTTTGTCTCTGCCTCATTCAACTGGGCTTTCCCTGCCGCACCAACCATCAGCCTCATGATTGGATTTTAGGGGAAGATGTCAACCTAAATACACGTCCCTCTTCCAACAGTGGACAGGTGCCAAGACAAGTTTCCATCGTTTTCTTCCAGTTGGCAGTTTTTCCTCTTTTTTCTCATTGTCTCGTTCTTCTAAACACCCTCTACCCCTGTGCCCCCATCCCCCATCCCCCCTTTTTTATGTGCAATACTGATACACCAGCTGTGGTCGGGGCCCAGAGCAGCGTCAGTGGTGCTTAACTATAACTTAAATCACAAGTTGAAGAGAGTGAAGTGAGCGTCCACTGGCCTTAGTAGCAAAATGCACATAGTATTATATATATCATATAAATACAAAGTGATAACAAGTGTTCATTTAAATTGATAAAATTAGCCAGTCTGTCATTGAACGTTTCCATGAGTGTTCATTTAAATTGATAAAATTAGCAAGTCTGTCATTGAACGTTTCCCCTCATATCATGTTAGTCTTTATCACATGGTTACATGTCTATTACATCATGTATATCATATCATATCTTATTGTCATACAGTATCATATCTCATATCATATCAGCCACGCTATTAAACTGTCACACCACACAAAATTAAAGGACAAAATAGCAGGAAGTCACCAGGTTTAAATGACAAAAGGCAAAGTTACAGAGGTAAAGTAAAAGCTAGAGCTAAGATGCTAATATGACTCAGCCGTTAGCTTTTGTGTAACAGTGACTTGACAGAATGTAGGTGAAAGCTTCAAATGGTTTTTACAAGTAGAAAGGACTGGACTCATTGTCTTTTGTGTGTGTAGTGTGTCACTGAGTGGTTGTTTGTCTCATTTATTAACCCCTGCTCAAACATCTGACACGCCGCTGTTTCTTGTTTGCTTTGAGCTGGCAGGCTAGCACTCGCAAACGTTCTCAAGTACTCTAGTCATTTTAAAGCCATGTTAACTGTCTTTACAACTCTCTGTGTTGCCTCCGCCTATTTTCTATGATTTTCATTCATTCAAAATTCAAAAATAATCTTTAAGAAAAATAATTCTCTCAATTAGAATAGGATATACAGTGATCCCTTGCTATAACGCGGTTTACTTTTCACGGTTTCGCTACTTCACGGATTTGCATCGTGCATTGTGTTCTGCATTCTGATTGGCTAAAAAGTCACTCCGCTTCTTCTCTACCTGTGCGCCAATAACGTTGCGGTTTAATATGTACACGTACGTAAAACAGCTTGCCAAATTGACATGACGTACGTGCAAATTCTCTTGCAATTTCGAGTTCATCAAACCCCATAATGTCGACAAAACGCTCTGGACCGGCAAAAGTACCTGCGGTAGGGACCAAAAGGCAGCGAAAGATGCTGTCTATCGGTGATAAAGTAAAACTATTGGACATGCTAAATGAAGGTAAAAGCTATGCGGCTGTAGGTCGGCATTATGGAATTAATGAATCTTCCGTTCGTTCCATAAAGAAGGAAGAAAAAAACATAAGGAAGACAGCAGCAATAAGGTTTAATAAGGATTCAAAAAGGGTTGCAACTGCCCGCAACAAGACCAGGTAATTTGTATTTTTTTCATAATCATTTTTAATTTTCTCCCGTTCACGGTGGGCGGTGCTGATCTCCGCAATTTGAAGCCTTCTGTTCACGTTGATGATTAAAATTATTATTTGACAGTACATTACAGAAGTTATTTGTTGAAACGTTTCTAAAGTACTTTTATTTTACTTTATTTGTGAAACAAATGGTTGAGACTGTAAAATGGTTTGTTCGTTCTTTCTCTTCTTTTTCTGAGTATTTAATTGTAAAAAAAATAAAGATTTCTACTTCACGGATTTTGCCTATCGCGGGTTCTTTTTGGAACGTAACCCCCGCGAAAAACAAGGGTTTACTGTATTAAATGATTTAAAAAACACAGTTAGTTGCTGTTTATTCCTAATCCTGGGTTGTTGGGTTTGTACTAATGTCGTGTCCCGATACCTGTGGAATATCCCCGGGTACTAAATGGACCAAAATGACCTTGAGCGAAGGTGGATTTGGGGGGTGTTTTAGCTCTGTAGCTGCCTTTGGTCACTCACAGTGTGAGGCTTGGTGAATGGATTCGATATGGGCCACACTGTTTGCTGGGGGGACTCTTCCTTTCACTGGGGCCTCAACAAAAGGCTCATTGTGGCCCAGAGTGCCAAAGCCTTTGTATAATAAGCCCCTCTCTGCCTCGCTCTCCTCTGCTCAGAGCCATGCTGTCACCAACTACTGTATGTTTAATGTGTCCACTCTTCACTTTTTTTTTCTTTACTGGAATCCTCTTGTCAGTTATTTTAATCATTTCCTGACCTTTTTTTAAAGATACATTTTATACTTTAAAAACACTATAAGCTCAGATGTGTTACATAACAGTGTTGGCTCATGGACTGTTGCTGTTGCAGCTGTTGAGAAGCTTCAAAGTAGCTTGTGTTTGATACATGGCAGAGCCACAGCACAAAGCTACAGGCTTGTCATACAGTGTTTCATGCCAGCATCGTAATGCAGAGATGAAATCTGTCAGGGTGGAGAGAGGAAACCAATGACAAAGGGACAGTGATGTAAAGAGACAAAAGGAATGTTGTTGAATAAATGAGCGCTGACCCTCATCATTAGCATCATCTCCATAAAGCCTCATTCTCACATATTATATTTTCTCTGTTGAGCTTCAGGGCAGGAGTGTCAATGAGTCACATGTTGTTCATATGTATATAAGTAATGACCACAGCCATGGGGGGGGGGGCATTGACTGGCATCCCCACACAGTAGTCACCACAAGTCAATCACAATCTCATAACACATAATCACTAGCATATTAGCTCTTTATTTCATTAAAAATATTTTATTTATTTTTTCACTTTAAATTTTGTCTTCTCTGTAGCGATATATACAGTATATATATATTTTTTGTCTTTTATTTTCTCGTTGAATATTTAAACAACAGGTCTTGAAGCAACAGTTACTTTAACCACTATTAATTTTGCCATTTCTTCCCCTGCTTTTTCTCCTTGGTAACTACACAGCTAACAGTATGTAAAATATTCTGTTTTTCTCTGAACAGCACGAGCACCAGCCTGTGCGTCCCATGGGTGTCAGTACCACTGCGCGGTGACTCACGATGGGCCTCAGTGTTACTGCAGAAATGGCTTTGAGGTCGCTTCAGACGGAAAGACGTGTAAAGGTGAGTGGGCACATTCGGGAAAAAGCAAGACTGAAGTAATCATCTGATTGCTGTGCCTGGTGGTTCAGAAACTGTGATTCACATGTTTTTAGAAACTGTTGAAACTTTCATTTTAACATTAATTTATTTGTGAAATCAGATTAAAATTTCTTTAAAGCCTTTAAACACATGGGCAGAGTGACGCCCACTGTATATGCGATGGTTCATCTGCTCTTATTTGTATTGTAGTTAATAGTGAACACAGACGTTATTTGAACATACTGCAGTTTCACTCAAGCACTTCAACTGGAAATGTGTATCTTGACACCAGCACGCAGTAACAGAGGTTTTTTTTTGAAGTTTTGAAAGTAAGGCTTGACTCAACAAATGTTCCGTCAAGACATACAGTAATGACTCTTGTCCTCCAACACGTTTTTCCATTATTTAGATTAGTCATAATTCAAAACAGGTTCTAAAACACAGGCACTGTTGCTGTTGTTTGTCTTTCTGTTCCACCAATACACAGAAAAGAAAACTTTTTTTTTTTGTCATATTTAGGCATGCTAATGTACCTCAGGTAATCATGTTAGATCATGATTAATTACCATCACCATTAATCATGAATAATCCTGTTTTTCATCACAAACCCACATCTGCCCTGTCAATGATCTGATTAAAATATTCTATTGTTGGACGGATCTTGTTTTATTACATTTTCCACTAGAGAACAAAACGGCATGTTCCACAGTAATCCCTCCTCGTTTGCTTACCTCAAAGTACCACTAATATCTGTAAGCTGTGTGGCAGCCCTGATACAAAAACCCATTTAATCCTTTTCCTCTGTAGATTTCAATGAATGCAACGTGTACGGGACGTGCAGTCAGACGTGCACAAACTCTGAGGGCTCCTACACCTGCAGCTGTGTGGAGGGTTACCTGCTGCAGCCTGACAACCGATCCTGCAAAGCCAAACTTGGTGAGACACACACACACACACACACACATACATACGCACACACACACGCAGACGCCAGGGATGCAGTGGTAACTTAAGCCACAAAGGCCACAAAAGATTAGAGTTGATTTGTTTCTCTGTTGGAAATTGCTCCCTGCAGCATAATCACATCTTCATGGTGCGACACCCCCGCGTTTTTACAGGCTTGTTTACTACAAAGAGATGTGTTACAGGTGTGCGCGGCAGTAAAGGAACAACTCCTCTGCATGTTTTTTCTCTGCAGGGTCCTGTTGCACATCTGTCATCTGTCAAAACCTGC